CCCACATCCCCTCCCCTACCCACTTTGATGCATTTTTCAAATTTCGCCTTGGGGCGGAGTCATCTTTTCACGGGGGTAAGATACACTTTAACCAGTACCCCACAGTTGACAGACTAGCATTAAATTAAGGCCAAAATTTACATCTAAACCAAAAAGAAATATTAACCCTAACCTCGGTGAATTGTAAACAGTCACTAGAAGAAATTCTTCTAAAAAAAATCTAAATATTTCTTTTGAATAGATTAACCCCACTATAAACATCCTAGATACACCAACCAGACCACACCCCCAACCATTCCTGACCCCTCCCCTAATGCTCACCATCTTCTGCCAATTCCTCCCGTTGTTGAACTCTTCTCAATCTGTATGAAGCTCAACACATAGCAAACACTCAATGTACTAGCTTAGTTCTACTGAAACAATAAACCTACACTCAGTTGCATATGCCAGCCATATTCCACTACTTATTCCACGGTACATAGAAATCAGTAGGCTGTCCCCAATGGTCTCTTGGAACAAATGATTCCACCATACAGTCTCCTTACTTAAAACTAACCACACAGATACATGCCTACAAAAAATAAAATAGTCCTCCTTGTTTGTATTGTGTGTAACTCTATGTAAATGTATATTTTTTGCTGCCTCTTGGCCAGGACTCCCATGAAAACGAGGTTTTTAATCTCAATGGGACTTKCCTGGTTAAATTAAGGAAACAAGCAAACAAGCAAACAAACAAACACTAAACCTTTAAAATATTATTTCCCGAAAGCAGAGGCCTAAAATACCCAGCCTGCACACAGCTTCTTTAAATTTCATTCCATAAAATAGCCACAATAACTAACCTAACACTAACCTAAGCCCAGAATCGTAACCAAACTAACCTAACCCTAACATGAACCCTAACCTGTGTTGTGTTTTGCTTATTTTAACGTTAGGCTACCCATCTTCTACTTTAAGCAGAAGGTCTGAGCTAGACTTTTGCTGTTTTTAGCTAATGTTTTTCTTCATAATAGTTTTTTGCGTGTGCTTTGAGACTTTTAGCTTTTAGCAAGCCTTTTGTTGGTTTCAGACCATTTTTTAAAATTTTTGCCTTGCTTTTTAGCTAGTTTTTGTTTGTATTATCTTTTAGCTATTATTTTGTTATGTCTTTTAGCATTTAACAAACATTGTTTAACTAACTTTTAGTTTGTGTTCTGCTTATATTAATGTTTAGTTAGCCTCYATTACTTTAGCTTTTAGCTACACTTTTATTTTTAGTTTTGAGCTTTACATTTGCAGGACTACTTTTAGCTCTTAAGTATTTTTATGGCTTTTGCCTTAACTTTAGGTACATAACATTTCAGTTTCTCAAAGTCATTTAGCTCTGTGATCACACACCCCTTATAAATGCAGATTCTCTGTTTTTGAAACGTTGTCCAGAAGCTAAAATGAACAGTTCCATCTTTATGCCATAACAAGCTTATTTTGTTGTTAACATGTGTTTTTTTGTATCCAAAACAAAGTCAAAAGTTACTCTAACAGTATCTAAATTGTAGATGATGAAGTTAAGTAATAAAATAAAATTAAAAAACATGTCAGATGCCAAATATAGATGTGACCTTCACAACTGTCAAAATACCATATTTTCCATTTAAAAATGACCCAATTTTTTAAACAAAATTTAAATTTGTGTCACAAATGTATTTAGTTTTTAAAGGTATCATTTATTTAATTGATTGAAATCTTTGTCACAATGTTTTTTTATGCAGGGGGTTGAAGTGAATTATCCACGTGTGTGTTTTATCTGAGGTTTGTAGAGCTTAAAGGGGCTGAAACTTTACCCTCAAAGAGGGTCTGAAGAGAGGAGAGGAAGTATTGGGCAGTCCCACTGTGATGTTTGTGGACAMATTGGAACATAAAGGTCAGTATACTGCTGTGCTTATGAATGTTTATATAAAAATAAGGTTTGGGGAGTTGAGATCTCACATGATTTTTGCAAACATGTCTGTGCTGTTCTTGTATTTTATGGCTCTTCTTTGGTCAAATCATGAGGGTGAAAATAGGAGACAGTCTGATTAAAGATTTCATGAAATAACACCAGTTAAGTACAATCTATTTCTTGTTTTGACATGAAGGGTTTTTTTCAAAGTGATGTTATTTGAAAAGTAGCAGAAAGGGAAAGAGTTAACATGAGACTGCCTGGGGTAAGTTTGAAGGACTGAGTTATTTTGAGCCTGCCAGCTTCATGTCGGTGACAGGTGGGCTGTGATGAAAAACAAATAGGGGGCTCAGGGCTACAGTAGGTCACTAATAAAAAAAAAGGTTTGGCAACAGTTAATGTTTTATAACGCTTCCATTAGTCAAGAAATATTGTTTGAAGAATAAAGCATACAACAGTCTTTAAGCATAATGCAGGATAACGTCTAAGCAATTAAAAGCTCCTTTCATGTCAGCTGAGGTAATGTTCTTGAGTGCACCGTCATGAGTAAAGAGCCACAATGTGCACAAGGATACGTACATCACTGTCCACTTTTGTTAGAAACACATTTTTCTGTCAATCTGCACAGACAGAACATCTTCACAGCAGATGTAAAAAGAAAATAAACCATTTTCTTTTTAGGAAATAAGCTGAAATAAACCCAAATTATCTTTTAAATGGGAAATGCCATCACTTGGACTGAAACTTTTCATATTATATATATA